AACCGTTAGTAAATAGGGTCCAAGTCCCCGGATTAGCTCCGGTAAATACTTGTAGTTCTTTTTCTGCTTCAGGAACAAGGTTCTTGCTAAAATCCGCTACAAAATATGCTAACACCTGCGATTTTATTGCAGTTATAGGCTGATATATGATATCATATTCACTGAGTTCTATTTCCATTTAGCTAATTTACCTAATAATTCTAGTTTATGCAGTATGTTCATTAGTGGGAAAGCAATTATAATAGAAATAGGATGACACTGAAAGTAAGGTCGTAACTTTCTTGATGTCATAATTAAAGCTAAAGCAAGTTTTTCTAGGTGAGGATACCGTATCTCAGCATCTAGTAAAGACTTACTAACATAATAAATTTGAGATTATTTACCTTTATATTCACGTGCCAATATCGCACTTACCACGACTTCTGACACAGCGAGGTAATTAGCAATCTCTCTTCGTCTTATGGTTTGGCTAACATAGGTGAATTTGATGGATACATATTTAGGTCCTTCAGAGCTTTTTGGCACTCATCATTCCATTCAATTTGATTTTTCTTTTTCAACACTGAAAAGAATTTAAAACTTTTTTCTAATGACTTTGATATAAATGTTCCCAGAGTTGCTATCCCCTTGTTAATCTCTGCACTTCTTTATTTATCGTGAGTATATCTGGTATTTCCTCAATAGCTTTGATCTGTGCGGGATTTACTTCAATACCTCTGTTAGAAATAAGAAAACCTAAAAACTTACCTGAAGCCATGCTAAAAACGCACTTTTTCGGGTTTAACTTCATGTTGTACTTGCGGAGAATCTCAAAGGTCTCAAACAAATGTTGAAAATGATCCTCTGCCTGTGTTGACTCGACCAACATATCATCTTTGTAGACTTTCATGATTTTTCCTAGGTGTTCTTGAAACATTTTAATCACCAATCTCTGATATGTAGCTCCAGCATTTTTCAAGCCAAATGGCATAACTTTGTAACAGTAAGTCCCACTGTCTGTGATAAACGAAGTTTTTTCCTCATCTAGAGGGTCCATTTTTATCTGGTTATAAGCTGAATATGCATCTAAAAAACTTAAAAGTTCATGACATGCGATAGAATCAATTAATTGATTTATATGCGGTAAAAGAAATGAATCCTTAGGACAAACCTTATTTAAATCAATATAATCTAACAAACTCGCCATTCTCAATTCTTTTTTGGAACCACAACAGTATTTGCTAACCAGTCAGGGTACTTTACTACTCGTATTGAACCAATTTTCAAAAGCTTTTGTACCTCATCCTGGATCACTTGATTTTTGATGGACCCTTGCTTCCTTTTGTTTTGCTTGACAGGTCGGTGTAATGGATCCTTGTTCAGCTTATGAGTCACACCTCTGGTGGTATACCTGTCATATCTGAATGCGACAAAGCAAAGCAATCTGCGTTAGCACGTAAAAATTCAATTAACTTACCTTTCATTTCTGGGCTCAAATTTTCTCCGATATAAACTTTTCTATCTAGCCAGGGGACAAATAGTATTACAGCTTCGAGCTCCTCCATAGTTGTTTTAATGTTCTCATTTTCCTCTGGCTCTTGAATCACATCAGGTCTTGAGTTGACATCAGTCTGCCCTTGTGTGTTTTCAGTTGAGGTATGAATAACAGTGTCCTCAACTGAATTCTATAATTTCTATTTCGCATCTCCATCATTGGCTACTGTGTTTACAATCACCACCGAGTTAATACTTCGTGAAGCTTGTTGATCTTCGCGGATTTGTCGGATTCCCCACTGTGAAGGGAATTTGATAACTTGATGCAACGTGGATGGGACAACATCCATATCATGAATCCATGGTCTTCCCAAGATTATACTATAGGTCATGTCCGCGATTATCATCTGGAACTTTGTATCTTTGATGACCCCTTCTACAAATGTGGCAAATACCACTTCCCTTTTAGTAACAACGCTTGAATTATTAAACCCAAACAAGGACTGTGCTTTTGGTATGACCTTATCATTAGCTTGCATTTCATTTACCACCCACAGTAAAATGATGTTCACTAATCTACCTGGATCAATCAAAACTCGTTTTACATTAGTATCATGTACAAATAGAGATATTACCAGTGCATTGTTGTGAGGAATCATCAAGTCGTCTACGTCTTCATCGTCAAATATTATATTGTTGCCATCCAAGACTTGGTGGACTTATTTTTCGTGAGTGACAGTAACTTTTGATGTCTTTTTCGCGGTTGTGTATGTTACTACATTGACCTCATCTCCTCTGGTTATGACGTTGACTGTTCTCTTTGGTGATGGAGGTTTTGGGGGTTCTTGTCTATTCTTCATGTATGATTGTCTCCCTTTCTCACTGAACAAATCAGTAAGATAGCCTTGCTTCAATAAATATTCGACCTCTCCTTGCAAAAGCCTGCAATCTACTGTTCTATGGCCATGATCATTATGAAACTCGCACCAAAAATCTGGGTTTCTTTTGTTTGAATATAATCTCATTTCTTTTAGCCATCGCACCTTATCTCCCATATCTCTTAAAACAACTACCAATTCGGAGGTGTTAATGTTAAAACCGTAATCCCCTATTCTTGTTTGTGTACTTGAATCATTGATTCGGGAATCCCGCTCCTTTTTGAACCTGAATGAAGAACTCGCGTCTTTTTTTCTTGATCTTGAATCAAATCGTGCATTCTCCTATTTAGATCGAGAATCTCGCCCCGCATGTCCCATATATGGCTCGTACCTGTTTTTACCGGACTTCCTCTCTGATTTTGAGCGTCTCGAACCTAGTCTTACTTCGGCCCTTGGCTGTGTAACCGTATCTTCTTCTATCCGTAGCCAGTGGCGAAGCCAGGAATTTTATTTAGGGTGTTCAAACTTGAAATAAGCAAAAAAAATCTCCGAAAAAGGTTGTTCAATATATGTTATATACAATTAAAATCTAATATTTTACCCATATATACAGTGTAATTTTTTGACGAAGGGTGGTCAGTTGACAACCCTTCAAGCTATGTACCTTCGCCCATGTCTGCAGCTTCGTATTATATTTATTGTACACATCGTTCCAAGTTGTTGCAGGAAATTCTCGCAATTCTACCTCCTCGTGGCTTCTGAACTCTTCTCGTTCAAGTTGCTTGCGAATGTCATAGCTGCCCAGTTATCAGGTACTCGTGGCAATATTATCCTCTCTCGTTGGAATATATCCACGAATTCTCTGAGCAATTCTATACTCTCTTGTTTAACCTTGAAGATGTCTTCCATCCTTTTTTCAATTTTTTGCGCTCCCGAATGTGCTTTTATAAATAAATCTGCGAGCTCAGCAAAAGAATCAATGGAATATTTAGGTAAAAGAGAATAGCATGTTAACGCTCCTTTTGTGAGTGTTTTGCAAAACTTTTTAACCAAAACTAATTCGATCTCCTGCTTGGTTAAATCATTGCCTTTCACGCCGGTAGTGAACACGGTTACGTGATCCCGAGGGTTAGTCGTTCCATCATATTTGGGAATATCAGGAATTTTAAACTTTTTGTGAATTGGAAAACTTGATGCACTTCGCTTTCAGGGTTGCTGCAAATACTTGTCAATATCCGCACCTTTGATCACGGGAGGCACGCCACGTATTTGCTCTATACGCTCATTTTGCTCCTTCAGCTGTTTCTGCATAGTTAGCACTAAATTTGTAAACTAGAATTATTCAGTGTGCCTGATCCTCCATCACGTGATTCATTGGAAATTTCTCCACTTCTAGAGTTATCAAGCCCTGAACGCGAGTTCTTCAAAGTTGTTGTATTAACTTGCGGAGGAGTTTGCACTGCGTTGGGTAATCTTCTGACCAAAGCCTGCAGTGCACTGTTCACGTGTTCTGCAATCAATTATTTTAAGGCATCCTGCTCCACGGTTTGGTCGTCTCCATGCGGACCATCAGTGCGTGAAGCAGATCTTCAGGTGAACTTTCACGGGATTGCTGAGGGGATCCCGTAGATGTGTGATGTGGTGGAGTTCCACCTTGTTGGTTCAGTTGATCGTTCTCGTTAGCGGTTGACATATTTGGTCGTTAAAAATAAAGTTTGAAAAGTGAACAGATTATCAAATTTCCGGTAACGGAACCAATTTATTTTATCCAAAAATAGATTTCTCAGTCAAAGTCAATATCAAGAAGAAATCGGGTTACTGATAACCAAGATTTACTTCATTTTCCCAATAATTTGAAGAATAAAGCAAGTAATGAAAATAATTGACAAAGAAAGAAAATATGAAATAGATTGATAATCACTCCCAGAATTGCAGTTCTTAATTTCTTGTGAATAAAGTAAAGAATGATTGCATAAATTTTAATAAAAAATCAGATGCCATTACAAATGAGGTCTAAGTTCTTATATAGGAGCATACAATTATAACGATTTTCTTACTTAATCCGGGCTCGTTAATGGCATTAATTGCCTTGATTACCCGTTACCATGTATAATTGTAACAAGAGTATTTATAGATGAGGATCTCCCATAACCGTAATTATATATCGATTTCCCTTCCTTATTTATGACAGGTTCATGCATCTTCCCTTCTTAATGGTCTTTATCCATTTCGCTCCTATTTCTCCTTTTACATTTGTCAGGTTCGGTTCTTTTCTCAGTGTAACCCCGAGGGTGTTCCTCCCGTGCATTCTTGTAATCTTTAACTCGTCCAATTAAGAATATTACTTGTCGCTATATTGATGGTCCATATACCATGTCTTGTCACCTTGATTACAACTCACGTGTCATGCCTTTTTTCCACAAATACAATCCTCCTCAAACTCCACTTGTAGAATTTCACTGGATTTGTTGTTATTGTTGTTAGTTAATACACAGGAGTTTTGTGTATATTATATTGAAAAGAAATTGTTGTAACCTCTACGTTATCACATGACGATGACACAACGTCCTCTGTATATAAAAAGATGAAGCCAACAAAGTTCTTTGCATTATTCCTCACTTCTGTCTTTTCTCTCTCACAAAAGTAGAGAAGCTTACATCAACTCTGCTTTCACAAAGCTCCATTCTCACTGTGTAACAGAAGCAGAGCCTAATTTGCCGTTATTTATAGTCTCCTTCACATTTCCACCTTGTTTTTCTTGGCTTCTGCATTCAAACTCTCTTTGCTCATACTATCCTACATTGCTTCTGATAACATGAAAACTTTTAAGCTACTCAAATGCTGGCCTAATACGGCCACCATTTGTGATACTATCTCTCGTTTTGATTCTGTTAAGAATATCGTCGATGGAATGGATTACGTAACTAACCCGAATGTTGATACTAATAAAGAAAGCGATGACGATGAAAACTCCTTCTTCCATTTGGTGTTCACCGGGCGCGACGAACGCCCTAAAGTAGACTCCAACTCGAAGCCTCATTCTCCAATTACTATGCTCAGATCATGTACCAAGATTCGTGTCTTCATTTTGGGCTTAAAGAAGTTAAAGCCGGAGAAATCTGGTATTGATCACGTTTCTTCTACTGCCAGGGCAAAGCATAAAAAACAGACACTTTCGCCCAGGACTCAGAGCAAGCGAATCACTGTAAAACGCAAGGTGAAGGATGTTCCAGTCAGCTCTATATTGTCGAGTGATAACAGTTTAAGAAGCAAACTGCAGAAAGAGAGAGAGGCGGAATTTGAAAGAGCTGATGTGCCCAAAACTAAGTTATTGAGCTCGCCCAGAAAATTATCGGAGGAGAAACATGGGAACCGAGTTGCTGTACGTAAACAGCTAAGGAAGAGCCCGTCGACGGCATCCGTTGCCGGAGTTTCAACGCCGCCGATGAATCGCAGAGACGATTCACTGTTGGAGCAAAATGATGGGATCCAAGCTGCTATTCTACACTGCAAGAGATCCTATAGCACAGTATCAAAAGGTACCTGCTGATTATCCATTGTACTTTTGTTCTTAATGCAATTTTTAGTCATTAATAATTCGAAATTGTTATGTGATCAGTAGTAGATTTTTTTTTAAAAATTAATTGTTAATTATGCCTTTGACCAGATTGTTCGATGTTATTACCAAGATCTACATCTGAAGATGTACCACGACCCTCTTATTATGAAGAGCAAAGCAGATGGAGCATTTAATAATCTATGGTATTAAAACAGGCTTGTACACTACTGTAAAAATGTGAGCCAGCTTTGTTTAAGAGTAAGGCTTAGTTATTATTGTTGTGCTGTAAGAATGTGATTATATAAGTTTCTCTTTAGTCTCAAATTATTTTTCATGTTTCTTCTTTACAATTTAATTAGTAGAAGTTTTGACTATTTTACCTATATTTATATCTTATTTTTATATGAACAATCATAACATCACCTCATAATTGATGTGTTTGTAATATTCAAGAACAATTACTAAAAGGGTAAATTGAAAAAAAAATAATTAATTTATCTTAAACTTTTAAAATGACAAATAATATGAGACAATTATTTTTAAAATTCTCAACAAATCATTTGAGACGGCGGGAGTATATTTTAATTTGGTCATTAAGTTTTAGGATTTCATTTTTGAGTAAGCTATAAAGTAGACAACTTTGTTTATAAAAGGTATTTTGCCTAAAGAGTATTCTACAAAAAGAAAAAAAAAAAAAAGAAGTCGTGGTTTGAGAAGAAAACATGGTGATTCTACCTCCTCGACTCTTTACAAGGTATCTTCTTGACACTGCGGCTGTGCATTTGGTTTCGGATATCCGAGAATCCAATCCGATCTACTTTATTCGGATTTTTTCGGATTCTAGAATTTTGGATTTCGAATATTCGGATCAGATATGAGTTAGATTTTTTAAAAGTTCGGATATTCTGATTGCATTCAGATTGGTATAATTTTAATTCAATCCGATCCGAAATCCGAATTATATGGACATGTACAAATATGAGCATATATTTTAGGGTTAAGAGGGTGTTTGGATTGGCTTAAAAGCCGGTCAAACCAGCTTAAAAGCAATTTTTAGCTGGTTGGAGTGTTTGGTAACTTTAAAAATAACTTTTAAGGCAAGTGCTTTTAAGCCAAACAAGCTAAAAACAACAAGTTAGGGAATCCCAACTTATTTTTTTATAGCTTAAAAACTGATTGGGTTTGACCATATAATTTACTCTTTTATCCCTAATAATCTTTTATTTTCCCAAATATCCCTTTAACAGTTCAAAGCCAAAAGCCCAACGTTCTTTCCCTTCTTCTCCCTCCACTGTTCCCATTTTTGTCAACCATTTCTAATGCCATTTCCATGGCATATCCCATTTTATATCTATTGCTTTTCCCTATTTTTAAAATTTTTGTGCCCCGGTGTCATTTTCATGATTCCTTCTCACGTAAATAATCATTATCATATTTTTATTTTACTCCTTGTTTGATAGTATATTTACTAATAATTATTTTCTTGAATCCTTTGTGTTTTGAACGGTTACGTTTCTTTTATATTGTCAAACAAACAATGTCATAATTGTTTGTCTAGTATAAAAACTAAAATACAAAAATATTCGAAAAAGTTGAAAGAAATATATAGCACTAATATAGTAACTTCAAATGAAAAATTATCTAAACATAAATAATTTTTTTAAAATTTTTTAAAGGAAATACTCCAAAAGTAACATACTTTAGTGTTAATAGCTTTATGAATATTTCAGTCATTTTAACAGAAAAAGTGCTTACCAACACTTATATACCAAACACTTCAATAACTTTTTTTGAGTTTAAGCACTTTTATCCAAACACGTAACTACTTATTTATAAAACAAGTTTTGACACTTAAAAAGTGCTTTTATAAGCACAATGCTTAAAAGTCATTTTTTTAAGCCAATCCAAATAGGCTCTAAGTCTTCTCATTTCATCCGCCTCTCTTTAGACTTTCTTTTTTTTTTAGTTTATATCGAAGTCTCTCTCTAACCTCTCTTTAGGTTGCTCTGTCCACTTCTCTTAAGTCTTATCTTTGTGTCTCTCATTCTCAGTCTCTCCTTCCTATCGACGAACACGATGCCTCTCCCTTATTAGACAATTGTTTGGAATTTCAATTTATTTTATTTTACTATTAAACTTTTATTTTGTCTATTGCTATGAAAGACATTTGTTGCTATTAATTTAATAGAATGGTGAATAACAGTATTCTTAAAAAGTACAGTAGCCGATTTGAATGTTAGTAGCCTTAATAAAGTATACAGTCCAATCCGAAAATCCGAAATATTTACCCAATTCAAACTTTAAAATCCGATCCGATCTAATTTAATTCGGATTGAATTCGGATTGCATTTTATAAAATCCGAAATCCGAATTTATAATTCGAATTATGCTAAATCCGATCCGATTCGACCGATGCACAATCCTACTTGACACTATTTAACCATCTTTCTGAAGTGAAAATCTTTAATGTAATGCAAATCCAAAGAGATCCCAATGAAGTAATCGGATAAATCCATAAATTAGTCCAATTTTGCATTGTAGACGGACCTAAGATTTTGTACACATAATTCCGTGCATAAGAAAAATGTCGCACTGCGCTTCCTCAAACAAGGTGGCCTTAATATCCTACATTGGGCTAATCATTTTATAATAACTGAGCAGCAACCGCCGTACAAGACATGAAACTTAACATATGGATTTTACTGATGATTGTTGTGATAGTGGGGAGCCATTGATTTCTCTATGGCATTCTCCTGTTTTTACCAGACAGATCTAATAATAGTAATAGCCTACAAAATTACGATGTTCTTGTGGAGAATGATGGGCTTAATTTGCCTGGACTTTTGATTCACAAACAATTTAGTAGTTTTATATAGTTTAGACTTTAATGATAGATAAAAATTTAAGTTGCGTAAAGAGAGCGTGTAAAATTATTATAATCATTGTATTATGATTGATGTAGTAAATTATTTATCATCTATTATGCGTTATCAACAACAACAACAACATCAAACCTAGTGAAATCCCACAAGTGGAGTCTGGAGAGAATAGTTTGTACGCAAACCTTACCCTTATCTTATAGGGTAGAGAGGTTGTTTCCGGTAGACCATCAACTCAGAAATAAAAAAGAGAGCAATAAACAAACAATAGCAACAACAATGTAATAGGAAAAAGAAAGCAAATGGCCAAGTAATAACAAAGATTTAAGAATAGAAAAATACAAGAATAGTGCCAAGACTACCGGTAAGAATGACACATTGTGTATCAACAAGGAACTAGGAATAGTAAACTAAGACTAGTACTAATACTGCTAGTGAGACTAGGAGAAACTCTCGACTACCTGTCGACCCATAACTCTAATACTCGATGTCCACACCTTCCTATCGAGGGTCATGTCCTCGATAAGCTGAACTAGTATCATGTCCTCCCTAATCATTTCTCCCCGGTACTTCTTATGCCTCCCTCTGCCCCTGCTCTGACCCGCCTGGGCGAACCTCTCGCACCTCCTAACCGGGGCATTGGTGTCTTTCCTCTTCACATGCACCAACCATCTCAACCTTGATTCCTGTATCTTGTCTTCCACAAGAGTCACGTCCACCTTGTCTCTAATAACTTCATTCCTGATCTTATCTCTCCTCATATACCTACATATCCATCTCAACATCCTCATTTCCACTACTTTTATGTTTTGGACATGAGACTTCTTGACTGGTCAACACTCATACAACATAGTCGGTCTAACTACCGTCCTATAAAACTTGCCCTTAAGTCTTGGTGGTATTGTCACGATAAATCCAGCAGTCGTGATGACACCTAATCCAACCCGCTAGGTAAGTCATTTAATAATAATCCAATTCAAATGAGATTTACTGAGAAGATAAATGATGAAATAACTGAATTTTTATACACAACCCAAGGACTGGTAGTACCAATCATTAACTTCTAAGACTTAGAGTTTACAAAGCTAGTATGAAATAAATACATCATCTGTTCGAACTATACATAAACAAATTTAGAAATCTAAAGCTACCAAAAATAAGAGGCAGCTGTAACCGGAACGCAGGTACATCTTCAATGCCAACTTCCGCCATACACAACAACATCATCTCCAAAATCAGCACGCAGGGTGCAGAAGTATAGTATGAGTATGACCGACCCCATGTACTCAATAAGTAACAAACCTAACCTTAGGTTGAAAGGAGTGGTGAGCGCGGAAAACGGTTAGGGTTCAACACCAATAGTTAAGCAACTCGTAATAATATAATAAAAATAGTGCAAGTACTAACTCAAAGATATTATGTTCAGCTCGTTCACAGTTACGAAAAATATGCATCCTTCTCCGGTATAACAGTAAAACAAAAAGCGTTTACCGAAATTACCAAAATATGAGGGTATATCAGAAAACTGTGATTTTTCCAAACTTGCAGCAATAGATAAGCTATTTTATTATCAGATAACATGAGGAAAGTACATCTCTATGCTTACATATCAATATGCATGTCAAGTCATCAATTACTGTATACCGTCTAACTTGTAGAATAGACATCTCAATGTCTACATGTCAAATCATGAATGTCACAATACCGTATAACATGAGGAAAATGCATCTCTATGCCTGCATGCCAAGTATGCATGTGAAATGAATGATTTCACGGTGATAATCCCAGATACTCACACTCTCAGAGTACCTAATCTGCCTGTCTCAAACTCCCACTCATCACACACAATCACTCAACACTGTATGGTACCTGCGCTCACTACTTGTATGTTAGACTCTGGAGAGGCGGATCCTAGCCAAGCGCTAGTATAAAGCCATTATGGCCTGTTGCGGCGTGCAACCCCATCCATAATTATAATAAGAGATATAAAGCCAATATGGCTTGCTGCGACGTGCAACTCGATCCACTAATATCACTCACAACACGGCTCTCAGGCCCCCAACTCAGTCATCAATCTCTTCAATCTCACTGGCTAACATATCTCATACTACTCAGCCCAAACAATGATAATATATGATGTAACAATGAATGATGAACATAGATTGAGATATGATATGCAAATAAAAAATCATCACTGAATATATAATTACAGTTAGACTAGATAACTCAAAACAACATAAATAGTCTCATTAGGTCTCAACCGAATAAGCGCATAGCCTAAACAAAATTTCTAACATGATTCACGGCTAATATAATCAAACAAGTAGGGAGAACATGGATGTAACAAGATATAATAGCAAAACAAGTCCAGTCACAGTCTAATAATCTACTAAAATCATGATTTTTTCGGCGCACACCCACACGCTCGTCACCTAGCATCTGCGCTGCCTCAATGCATTTCGTATAACATAGTTCTCAGGGTAAATACACTCAAATCCAAGTTTATATATGTTACTTACCTCGAACAAGCCAAATCCAATACCGAGCAAGCCAAACAATACTCTAGAAATGTCATCCCGCACGTATCGACCTCCGAAAGACTCGAAACTAGCCAAAAGCAACTCAAACACATCAAATAATGCCAAAGAAAACAAACTCAATCGATAAAGGTTGAATCTTTAATCAAAAGCCCAAAGACAACTAAAAAGTCAGCCCCGGGCCCGCACCTCGAAACTCGACAAAACTAATAAAATCAGATAACACATTCAATTACGAGTCCAACCGTACTAATTTCACTCAAATCTGACTCCGAATCGATATTCAAAACTCAAAAATTCGTCTTAGGAAAGTTTAGATAAAAATCCTCAATTTCTCTTTTGAAATCATCAATCAAATGCCAAAAACGAAGATGAAATCACGAAATAGAATCAATACCGAGTAGAAAATACTTACCACAATCCATGTGAAAACAATTGCCTCAATTTGAGCTCCATAGCTCAAAATATGATAAAATATATGAAACCTTCGAAAATAGAGTGCGTATAATCACCAGATAGATTTATGAATCGCGATCGCGGAAATACCATTACGATTGCGAAGAAGAAATATGCATTGCCCTGAAATGCTCAACGTGTTCGCGAGCCTACTCATGTGAACGTGATACCCACAGATGTCAACACTCCTTGAATGCGTAATAGAAATCACCATTAGTTTTTATTACAGACCCAAAATATTTAAAACTATCTCTCTCGGTGATGGCTTGTGTATCAAACTTTACTTCCACTTCAGCCTCATGCGTCTCAATATTGAACTTGCACTCCAAATATTCTGTTTTTATATTACTCAACTTGAAATCTTTAGACTCTAGGGTCTTTCTCCACACCTCTAGCCCGGCGTTAACCACGCAATGCGTCTCGTCAATCAGCACTATATCATCTGCAATAACATACACCATGGCACCTCCCCTTGTTGCTAGAGCGAATAAAAATGGGCTAAGAGCTGATCGTTGATATAATTCCATCTCCACTGGAGAATAATTCGAGTCTCCTCCCATAGTCCTCACCCTAGTCTTAGCTCCGTCATACATATCCTTGATCACCCTAATGTACGCTACCGGAACTGCACTAGCCTCCAAACATCTCCATGGAACCTCCATACACAAGTCTTTCTTCCGTTCCCTATAATGTTCTATCAATCTTCTCACAAGATGAATAGTTTCGTAGTCGACCTCTCCGACTTCTAAACAGCTGGATTGTCTATATGAGTACAAATTTTCACATATTAACACATCCAGCTATAAACAGACAGTAAAGAAGTCTCTTTTGGTCCAAAGACAGTAACATTTGCAAACTAACCGCTTCCTTTTTTATATGCAGCTTACGGTATTTCGTTTCTACATTTCTTCCTCTCACATTAATTCTTCGTCATTTTCTAGTTATATTTTTATGCAGCCAATTTATCCGGCTTAGCTTTTGATAGTCTTCTCCAAAGGAAATATGAGGGCTTTCACAAAGATGATAGTGTATCATGATTTTTTGTTTAATTATAACTCTTAAATCACCAAACCCTAAAATCTTCAACAACAAAAGAAGCCAAAGTGTCTTGGTCTACGACCCGTCAAATTATATAATAACTCCGACTGAAAAGAGAATAAAAGAGGTGAGAGTCCCTCTCAGAAAAACAAAGACATGACTTGCGTACGTCTACCCCTTTTCTGGAATATTTTGTTTTTGGATCTTTTTTCCTTTGCTCTTTTGGAAGTTTATTGTCACCATCCTCCTCTATCTCCTCAGAACTTCTCTGCCCCAAAATCCGTTCAATCCCTTTTATTCCAAGTACTACTCCTTTTTTTCGTTCTTAGTTTTTTGTCTCTTGTCATATCCTCATTAATTTTCAGCTAGGTAAGGTTTAAAAGGAAAATATATTATTTACTGGATACTCCTATATGTCCTTTCAATTTAAAGAGTAAAGAGCTTTTCAATTTAATTGACTAAGGTGTAACAAGAAAGAGAGCACAATAGAAGGTTTGATGAGGTTTCGGTCATAACATGAAACCAACCGGAACAACTTGGATCATTTGTTGCTCGTGCAACCACTATGGCATGAGGTCTGAATGAAGCTAATTGATGAGACATTAATGAATTAAGTACAGACGTGGATCCAAAATTTGAAATTAACGGATTATGAATTTGCTACTGAGTTCATAGCTTGTTTTTAATTTTTTGGGTTTGAATAAAATTTTTGTATACATTTAATAAATTTCTTAATATAAATGCAATGTCTAAGCAAAAACTATTGTATTCGTCCGAACCGATGGCTAACATTACAACTAAGCCCTAAAAAGATGTGTACTTGTATCCGATTGGATTGAAAACGAATACCCAATATTTGCTTTTGTACTCATAATTTACCATGTCCAAACAAATTGCTACACTAGACCCTTCAAGTTAATATCCTACGTGTGGCTTAGGTAAAACCAGTAATATTTTAATAACAAAGCCGAAACTGCTCATGCAAAACATGGGACATTAGGGAGTTCACTTGCTCTGATAGTGGGGAGCCATTTATTATCTATGGCGTTCTTTTTGTTTTTGCTAGAGACAAATCCAATAATGGCCTACAAAATTACAACCCTCTTGTGGATAGGGTTGGGTTTTGCGCTGACTTAGGTCCACAAACACAACTTAGTAGCAGCATATATATATATATAGTTTAGATTTTAGAGCTTTAATTAGCTATGAATAAAGAAAATAGTCACACTTTGGTCAAAAAGAAAGAAACATTTGCAAACTCACTCTTCCATCTTTATAACTTGTAGCTCACTTTATTTCTTTTCTTTTTTCTGCTTTTCATCCTTTCACGTTCTTTAACACTTTACAATTACATTTTTAAGGTATCCAATTTTACCTCTTTAGCTTTAATATAAGTACTAGTACAAAGAGCTTTTGAAAGAAGCAAGTCAAACTTTAATGCAACGAGCCCATCTGACTAACTTCTTCAAAAGAAAAAGAGAGGGTAAAAGCTCCAAGACTAGGAACGAGCGTGCCCACCGTTGAGTCCTCGAATTTGCAGAATTCAAAGAGCCAAATGTCAGAGTTTATAATACTACTTAACATGTACTGAAAGAAAAGAAAAAGATGAGACTATTCCCTCAGAAAAACAACGACATTACTTATGTCTTCCCCTTTTACTAGTCTTTTCTTTTGGAAGTTTCTCTCGTCTTAGAGCCTCTCTGTCCTTAATTGTGTTCAATCCCTTTTACTCGAAATGCTACTCTTCTTTTCATTCTCTTTAGTTTGTCTCTTGTTGTACCTGATTTTCACTTCTACCAAGGTAAAAAACGGATAAATATTAACGCATCTGAAGTTATTTGTGTAGTATTTCAATTGTAAATATCCGCAATAACTGACTTATTTGTTTTTTTATTTTTGTCCAAAATAAGTGTCCAGTTATATAATATAATTAAGAAAAAATTCAATTTGTTTTTACTCTTTTACCCTTATGTGCATATCTCTAAAAAGTTTTCTTACTCCTCACATTAATATTTAATTAAGGGTAGTTTAGTCATACTAGGTATTTTTATATAGAATATAGTATTTTCTTAATGAACGTGCCTAAAGCAAATTGGTCACGTATTGTGGACCAGAGGGAGTACTAGATTAGGAAACTTACCCAGTTCTCCTTTGCCAAAGAGGATCTGCAATAACTATGGCTTGAGTTACCGGCCGATAACAATTATCACAAAGCTTGGTTTCCACAACCTAGATGTTCCGTTAAAGATGAATAGAGTTTTTTTCATAAACCCTAGTTTTTTTTTTAATAGAAAAACGTGTCTTTTCCAATACCTATAATGATGTGTGTATATATATATATATATATATATGACATTACTAGGGTTTTATGAGGAGGATTAGTGCATGAATTAACGGACCGATCCAACAACTTTTTCCAACGATTTGAATATACATAACACAAAAGTTTGTGGATTTAGGATTTAAACCAATACCGGTACATCAGCTTTTTTCTTTTAACAATAAGTACAAAGTTAATTAATTTATATTTTAACATCTACTACTTATACTCGTGTATAGTTCAAGAGTAACACAATGGATTATTACACCTGCTAGTGACCTATGCTTCAGGCTCATAATTAGTCATTATGAAGTTTGTTTTTCTGCGAATTTAGTTACTCCCTCCGGTCCAACCCCCGGTCCATAATAAGTGACAATTTTATTTTTTTATTTTGGTCTAAAATAAATATTCATTTATATAATCAAGAAAAAATTAATTTTATTTTTTCAAAATTTATCTTTATTTATATATTTTAATTTGTCAAGATAATAATTAATTAAAATTAATTTAATTAATATAATTTTTTTTTCTCTAAAAATTCGCATTTACTTAATAGGAAAATAAAACGGTCCGGAGGGGCTAAGTTATAGTATTAGTTGTTGGGTAGACTGAGACTTTGAATCTTGGAATAGGGAACGTTAAGATTCTTGGACCAGTAAAAAGGCTGTAAAAATCTAAAGTAAAGTTTCTGATACTTATTGGGGGTTACCCAAATTTCAGACTTTTACTCAGTAAAATTAACCTCTAGTCCGTAGTTTGTAATTGTGCAGACGCGGACGCACGAGAATTGTAGTAGGAGTATCTGCTTTTCTAATTAACTGAAACTTACTCCTCACATGACGACGGTTCTATCTCTTTACCTATAAAAACGACGAAAACAACAAATCTTTGCATTGCTCTTCAGTCTTCTTCTCTTTTTATTTCAAAAAGTAGAGAAGCTTACATCAACTCTCTGCTTTCACGAAACTCCATTCTCACTATATATATAAACCACCATATTTTAGCTATATATGTCCATTCTTGTTCCACATTGCTCACTTGTCTTTCTCTTACATTCAAATCCTCTTTGCTCATACTACCTTACTTGTTTTTCGAAATCAATGGAAGCTTTTAACATACTTAAATTCTGGCGTACTGCTGCCGTTAGAGATATCGTTTCTGATTTTGATTCTGTTAATAATTTCGTCGACGTACACAGACCACTGGAGAATGATGAAAAAACCAATGACGACGAAGACTCGTTCTTCGATTTGGTATTCACAGGACACCCTAAAGAATACAACAACGCCAAATCCGTTTCTGAAACAAATTTACCCGAGTCTCCTAAAGATGTGTTTTTTAAACCAAAAGCTTTTCCAATTGACTCCAACTCGAAGCCTCTTTCTCCGAATTCTATACTAAGATCAGCTCCCAAGTTTCGTGTCTGCTTCTTGGGTTTCAGGAAGTCAAAGCCAGAGAAAGTAGGCGTTGACGATTCTTATGCGGCAAGTCCGAAAATGCAAGACCAGAAACTGTCTCCTAAAGCACAGAGCTATCGATTTACGACGAAATGCAAGGTGGAGGAGGTTCCAGCCAGCTGTATTTCCTTCAGATACAATAAAAGTTTAAAAGGAAACCAAGTTCGAAAAGAAGAAGAGGTCTCTTCAGTTAAAGACTCGTCAAAGCAAGATATGCCCAAATATTTGAAGTTGATGAAGCCTTTGTACTCCAGAGCTTCCAAAAGGTACACCGACAATATAAAAATATCAGACAATGTTTCGAGAGCAAGTCAATTGTGCTCTCCGTCAATGCAATCATTGAGCTTACCCAGAAAATCATCAGAGGAAGGAAAACAGGGGAGCCGAGTTGCTGTACTTGGGGTTGTGCGCAAACAGCTAAGGAAGAGCCGTTCGATGGCATCCGTTCCCGGAGTTTCAACGTCGCCGATGAACCGGAGAGACGATTCACTGTTGGAGCAAAATGACGGAATCCAAAGTGCTATTCTTCACTGCAAGCGATGTTACAGCTCTGCCTCAAAAGGTGCATTTATTGACTCTCCATCATATTTTCTTTACTGTATTTTAATCTTTGCCTAATCTTCTTTTTGTTTAATATTGGACTGACATTAATTCTTAATTTTGCTTTGAACAGACTGTTCGGTGTTATTGTCAAGATCTGCAAATGAAGATCTGCCCAGAGCCTCTTCTGAGGAGCTGAACAGATGGAGTATTTGAATAGTAATAATCCATGGTGTCAACATTTAGAAACTAAATATATAGCGGGAACAGAAAATTACTAGAAACAGAGGCTTTGTCTTGTTTCATTTGCTGATATCCTTAACTATTTTGTTTTTACAAGCGAAGTGCTGTTAGTGGAATGACTAGTTTCTTTTTGGTAAAGTAACTGAGGAACAAATGGAGTATGATTTTTTTAAGTATGGCTCTACTCTTTCAGACGTTTTCTGTGAAGTGTAAATGTTCAATTTGGTCATTATTATGTTTTAGGTTCCAATTCCCGAATAACTTGCTCAAATCGAAGTTGTCATTATTGCCAGGACATACAAATGTTACAGATACTTTACTGCAGTGCCCGATTGCGCGTGCCTTCACCTTATGTTTTTGTAATATGAGACGCCTGTAACATGATGGTACATCTTCTTAAAGAATGACACTACCTTATATTAGGCTGAATAGATAGGCGGCTCTCCAAAATTGCGTATTGTTTTTTCCTTTTTCGCAATTAAAGTAAGGGTATTATCACTGGTTATGTTAGTAAGGTCTTTTTTTGTCTCGCAATTTCTAACTTTACACATTGGCAGCTGTTGATTAATACACAATTTAGTTTGTTGGGAGTTGCAAAATATGTCTAATTGACACATTTTATCTTCACGTCAAGAATTTTACAAGTACTACTCTTAGTTTACAAGTACTATTAATTTAGGTGACAAAATGAAAAAAAAAAAAGACAACTTTTATGTGCTGATTATAAAAATATTTATATAATAAAGTCATTATCAAGCATTTATAAGTAATTTTTTAATTAGTAATCTGTTAAAAATATTTACTAATATTCGATCACAATATAAAATTCTTTAATAGTGTAAAAATTTCTTTATATTATTAGCGTATAGTATAACTTAAATTTAGAATTTAATGTGAATATATTGATCTTAACACTATCAATGTATGTAATTTACATTTAAAATTTTAATGTCTGAAGGGATGTGTATGTTTTTGTATACGGTTAAAATCGAGCCCACCCGATTTTACTATTTGACTGAGACCGGGAGGTTGCATCGAAGGATGGCCTCGTAACGGAACAGACTAAATCACGAGGATAAGGTACCGAGTTTAGAATCGAGGTACCTGTCGAGATCGAGGCTAACAGCGATCCAAGTCAGATGAGACAGACATCGAGCAAGATCGAAGATAGCACAATAACAGAAAGGCGAGATATCCGTGACTGGTCGAGGATCATGGCGTAAATCTCGGAACAGATCAAATCAGAAATGGTTAATTAGCTAACCATGGGATTTCCTTCTGTAATTAGAATTATACCATAAGTAGAATTCCTCTACTATTTAAAGGGGGGTATTCTAATTATTTGTAACACACATTGTTCAGAGATATCACAGCAATATAATTCTCCTTCTCGTTTATACTATTGTTTATCAGCTTGTTATATTTTAATTGTTCTTATATCAACCAATTCGAGGGTATCCAAACTCGAGGGCTGAGTTCCATTCTAACACTGGTTTGCTTTACTTTATAGTTCATTTCTGTTATTAATCTTCATATTTATCAATTGGTCTTGAGTGAAATCACGTGTCCTTAGAACCACATTATAAGTTTAATTGTTATCCAATTTTAAGGGTAAGCAGTTTGGCGCCCTAAATGCAAATTTGGGCGTTGATCCTGAAGGTAGCGTACGCAGGGAAGTTCGATCAGGTGGTCGAGGTATGCAGGGCGGAAAAGATGGTGGAGTTAGCCTCCAATTGATATTCGAAATGTTACAGGATCAACAAGCCGCTATAGCACAACTACAAAATCAGCACCGAACACCGAGTAGAATCGAACCAGAAGTCGTCCACAAGACTGAGCTTGTGCCGGAAAGGTCGAACGCCAACGAATCGGGGACTGACCCCGCCATTATGAAAATGCTCGAGGAGCTCACTAAACGGATTGAATCGGGAGAAAAGAAAATCGAGGCAAATGACAAAAAAGTAGAGGCATACAACTCCCGGGTTGATCAAATACCGGGGGCACCACCGATTCTAAAGGGTATGGATTCAAAGAAATTCGTACAGAAGCCTTTCCCTCCAAGTGCGGCTCTGAACCCCATTCCGAAGAAATTCCGAATGCTAGAAATTCCTAAGTATAACGGGACCACTGAACCTAATGAGCATGTCACTTCTTATACATGTGCAATAAAAGGGAATGACTTGGAAGACTATGAGATTGAATCTGTTCTACTGAAGAAATTTGGAGAAACCTTGTGGAAAGGAGTAATGATATGGTACCACAATTTGCCACCTAATTCCATCGATTCCTTCGCCATCACTACTAAAAAATCAGGTTTTAGCGACGGACAGATTCTATAGCTAAACAAAAAAATCTGTCACTAATCTCATTTAGCGACTGATTAGCAACGGATTATCAAGAAATTATGCTAGCTACGAGCATTTTAGCGACAGATTAGCGACGACGTTCGTAGCTAATTCTAGTTTTGTTTTGTAGTGCATGCTTGCGAACTCCTTCGTAAAGGCACATGCCGGAGCAATAAAGATTGCGACTAGGAAGTCGGACCTCTTCAAGGTGAAAACAAAATGTTGAGGAAATTCGTATCTCGGTTCCAGATGGAACGTATGGAACTACCACCGGTCACAGACGATTGGGTTGTTCAAGAATTTACTCAAGGTTTGAACGAACGAAGTTCGGTGGCATCACGATAGCTAAAGCAGAATTTAATTGAATATCCAGCGGTAATCTGGGCCGATGTACATAATCGGGACCAGTCAAAGATCAGGGTCGAGGATGATCAATTGGGGACCCCTTCAGGTTCCGTTCATCCAAACAGGCCCGTCGGCAGAACTCAAAGGGATATCGATAGAGAACCCCGGTCGAACAGAGATCGGTATCAACCATATAATGCAGATCGTAGAAATAACGGCCCAGGATGCAATCCCATCCGAAATGATCGAAGAACGATCGAGGACAGAGCTCTCGAGGGCTCATAAGCAATAGTGGCTTCGATAAACATGTCGATCCCACAAAAGCACCACGATTATTAGAATACAACTTCAGCATCGACGCATCAAGTATTGCGTCAGCCATTGGGAGAATCAAAGATATTAGATGACCCAGACCCCAACAAACCGATCAATCCCAAAGAACCCCCAATCAAATATGTAAATACCATGGTACACATGGTCATAGAACCGAAGACTGCAGACAACTAAGGGAGGAGGTGGCCCGTCTATTCAACGAGGGTCACCTTCGAGAATTCTTGAGCGACCAAGCTAAAATCCATTTCAGAGACAGGGATGCAAACAGGAAAAATGAGCAGGAAGAACCACAACACGTGATTCACATGATCGTTGGTGGGGTCGATATTCCACAAGGGCCCGTGTTCAAACAAACTCGAGACTATGTGCTAGAAGGCACTTGAAGGGATCTCACAACCCCATAATGATGCTTTGGTAATCTCTATCCTTATGAATAAAATTCAGGTTAAACGTGTTTTAATTGATCCAGGAAGCTCAGCCAATATTATTCGATCGAGGGTCGTGGAGCAGCTCGACCTACAAGATCAGATCGTATCCGCAGCTCAGATTCTCAATGGCTTCAACATGGCGAGTGAAAGAACTAAAAGTGAAATCATCCTACCAGTAAATGTAGCCGAAACTATTCAAGAAACAAAGTTCAATGTGATCGAGGGCGATATGAGATACAACACACTGCTCGGAAGACCTTGGATTCACAACATAAGGGCAGTCCCCTCAACCCTTCACCAAATGCTGAAGTTCCCAACACCGGATGGAGATAAAATGGTGTATGGCAAAACAACATGCTGCTAAAGAGATGTTCGCGGTCGATGAAGTAATACCGGTATCGGCGCTTTTGTCTACAAAGTGATCAAAGTCCAAAGGAAAACAGGAAGCTAAATAGCAACCACAACCACCAGCCTCGACTCAGTTGAAGTAGCAGGGAACGGACGAGGACGATGACTACTGGACCCCTCAATCCTTCATAATCCCCAAGGATTCCGACGCCCCCTAATCCACAGTCGAAGAGCTAGAGCAAGTCATACTGATTGAGCATCTACCCGATCGAAAGGTATACCTGAGTACGAGGTTATAAGTATGTCACCTATTGTTATAATGTAATGCCATTTGGACTAAAAAATGATGGTGCCATTTATCAACGCTTAGTAAATCGAATGTTCGAAGAACAAATAAGTAAATCAATGAAGGTTTATATTGACGATATGTTAGTTAAGTCCCTACGAGCAGAGGGCAATTTGACACATTTGCAGGAGACCTTCGATATACTAAGAAAATACTACATGAAACTCAACCCGGAGAAATGTGTATTCGGGGTCGGCTCGGGAAGTTCCTCGGCTTTATGGTATCAAATCGGGGGATCGAAATCAACCCCGACAAGATCAAGGCAATCGAAGACATCACAGTCGTGGACAATGTTAAGGTCGTACAAAGATTAACAAGGCGCATAACCACCCTAGGCAGATTCATCTCGAGGTCTTCAGATTGAAGTCACAAGTTCTTCTCACTACTCAAAAGAAGAACAATTTTGCATGGACCTCGGAATGCCAACAAGCATTAGAAGAATTAAAGTGATACCTCTCGAGCCCGCCACTGCTTCATACTACGAAAGCGGACGAGCAACTCTATTTGTACTTAGCAGTCTCGAAAATCGCGGTAAGTGGGGTCCTAGTTCGAGAAGAGCAAGTATGCAATTTCCTGTTTAGTATGTTAGTCGAAATTTAGGTGAGGCCGAGACCCGGTACCCACACTTAGAAATATTAGCGCTTGCCCTAATAAGCGCCGCTAGGAAATTAAAACCATATTTTCAGTGTCACCCGATCTGTGTGGTGACTACTTATCCCCTTTGCAATGTTTTGCATAAGCCCGAACTTTCGGGCCGATTGCCCAAATGGACAGTCGAGATCAGTGGGTACGATATCGAGTATCGACCCCGAACAACCATCAAGTCTCAAATCTTAGCGACTTTGTGAGCGATATTACGCCAGCCCTCGTACCCGAGGTCGAAAAGGAACTATTATTAAAGTCGGGTACATCATAAGGGCTGTGGACACTCTTCACAGATGACGCTTCGAAAGTGAAGGGGTCCGGGCTAGGCATCGTTTTGAAGCCGCCCACGGGTAATACAA